CTGGAGGATCTGACACTTCTCCACTCAGCTGCCCCAGCCACAGGGCTTCAGAATGACCAGGAAGCCAGGTGACGCCATGGCAGTGATCAGGTATGAGTAGGCAATGGTGTGGCTGGGTCCCGATGGAGCCAGGAGGGAGCTGTGCTTTGCCCTGGGTGTGGACTTGTGCAATGCAGCAGGTACCAGTGCAGGGACATTATGACCCCTCTGCCACACTGGATTCCCCAGGTGGTTTTCTTGTGACCCAGCCAGGGAAGCAGTTGGCTTCAGGCTTCTAACCACTCACAACCTGGTGTGGGCCAAGGGCTGCCCTGGGCAGGCCACCAAGCAGCCTGGGACAGGCAGCAGGGGACTTCTGTGTAAGGGGCAGGGCACATGTGCAGGAGGTGTGGAGACCAGGGCATGTGGCTTTGCACGCATGCTCTATACCTGAACCTCGGTTTACCCATGTGCAAAAGGCCAAGGATGACACTTCCGCAGGACTCAGAGGGCTCTGTGACACACTCAGGAAGGTGTCAGCAAGCCCTCCTGAGTGCTCGCTGCACCGCCCCAGCCCCAGCTACTGCCACACGCGGTACCTCCATCTGCCCATTCTCTGCTGCGTCGTGCAGGGGCGTCCCACCCCAGGAGTCTCTCGTGATCGGGGCACCCATCAGCAGGAGCCGGTCTAGGATGGGTGTGTGGCCTCCGCGGGCAGCGAAGTGCAGGGCAGTGGCCCCCTCATTATCCCGTGTGGTCAGGCTGATGTCTGTGAATGTGACCTGCAGAGAAGTGCCATAGGCAATAGGCTGGTCAGAGAGGCCAGCCTGGAGTGACCACTTCCAGAGAGGAGGGACATGGGGTAGCTCAGAGCAAAAGTGGGAGCTGACCTTCAGCTATGCCTGGAGGTGGGGGCAATACTTCCCAGGAAGCCCTGGGACGAGCTGGCTTATGTCACATGCCCACAACCCTAGGGCAGCATGGAGTCCAGGGTGAGGTGGGGACACGCGCTGCAGTGGTTTTATCTGGTCATGAAAAAGTGCCACATCTGGCCCCTAGGGGACAGACAATGTGTGAACAGCTGCTGGTGAAGGAAGCAGTGAGGAAGGGCGTCCTTGGGTAAGGGCAGCACCACATCCTCCGGGCTTCGCAGCCCCAGGCACAGCCCAACACGAGGATGCTGCTGGGTGAGCCGGTGCTGGGACCCATCCCTGCCTGGTGACAAGCACACGGGTGACTTGAGGCCAGGCCTGCTCTGGAGCCTCGCCTGCCCCCTGAAAGGGTGTTGTGGGTTCTGGTCCACAGCACCAACCAGGCGCCTCCCAGGGTTGTCCCAGCAGACAGCCATGCCCAGACCTTTACAGGGTGACATGCTGAATGTATGTCTGGCATGGGAGATGCAGGGAGAGGGTGGGCCGCAGGAGGTTCTGCCTCGTTAGGCCATGGTGCCGCCTTCCACCCTCCTCCTGCCTTGAACCTGGCCAACTTCCCCAGGAGGAAAGGGCCAAGAAGGGCCGCCAGTCCCCGCCCTGCTTCCCCCTGTGGGGTGGGAGGCCTGCAGCCCAGGTGTTCCTGGCGGACCCCACAATCCACTGTGTGTTAGAGAAGGCCGTCCCCGCAACCCAGGGAGAGCGTGCGAGGCGGAGCCCAGCCACTCTCCCACCTGAGAACCCCACGGCCCTGGCCACTGCTTACCCAGGACCGGCTGCTCCAGTAGCACAGTCTGCGAGCCTCTGCGGTGTCCCCTTCCTGCCCCTATGGCACCCACCACCCCGACCACAGCTGCTTCTCCCCCTGTGCCCTGCGGGTCACGTCCATGTGGCAGCCCCAAGGCTTGCTGCGGGAGCCTGGAGCAGGCCCAGGGAGGGGACTGCATATTGGGGCTCTTCATATGGAGTGAGGCCACAGGCGAACCCGGGTCCCACCCCCGCTCCCCAGGGTGACACTCCCTCAGGGAGGCACCAGGGCTGCCTCAGGCTGCCAGGGAGGCTGGGGCCATCCTTGCTCCTTCCCGAGTCTGTCCACTGTTCAGTACACATTCCCCAGCCCTCCTGCGCCAAGCACAGGGGATGAGGGGATGGACAAAGACCTGGCCCTCCAGGACTCCCGGAGTGGACTCTCCAGGGAGTAGAAGGTCCCTGACATTACATGTGATCAGGCTTGATGACCTGGGGGACACGTGGCCAACTTGAACAAGCACAAGGTGCAGCCTGGTCAAAGGCCCCCAGCTGGGTAGCTGGGGCAGGAGCAGCAGAGGAGGAGGGTGGGAGGAACGAGCGTGGGAAGTCTTAGCAGCAGGCTCTCCCCTCTCCACCAGCAGCCAGAGTGGCCTTCCGGAACACCAGTAGACCAACTCAGAGGCCTCAGTGTTCTCTGGCACCCTCAGTGGGGAGCCCAGGCTGCCCTCCCAGTCCATCTCCAGGCCATGGGTGAGGTGCTCCCTTCTCCAGGAAACTGCTTTGGGCCCTGCCCAGCCCAGCTGCCTCCTGCTCTGCCCCCACTGCCACCTCCCTGGTGAGGCCCTCCCTCCTCCGAGACCCATCATGTCTCCCATAGACCCTCAGAACTCCCAGACAACCCTGCCAGGCTGTTTTTCTGTTGTGGCACGGAGGTCCCCGCCCACCCTTCAGGAGTCATCCCCACTGTCTCCATGCTGTGGGGCTCAGGGCTCCCTTCTAGGAAGGGGAACTGGCCTAGGGCTTGGAGGTAGTGGGCCTGAACTAACAGCTAAGGTGCCCAGGCCAGACACTGTCTGTGGCACTGGTGACAGAGCACCTGGGGTGCCACCAACCCCAGCGCACCCTGGAGACCCACTGCTGGGTCTGGAGGCCTCTGTGGTCAGAGCTGTGGAAGCTGTGTGATGCCCCGCTGCCCTGTGGAGCCTCATGCCCTGCTTATTCCAGGCCCGTGGACTTGGACGTCCTCCTCCCCAGCCCTGCACCCTCTTACCAGCCAGACAACGAGCGAGTAGTGGCCGCGGGCAGCAGCGGCATGCAGCGCACTCATGCCATCGAGGGCACGCAGGTGCACGTCGGCTCCGCAATCCTTCACCAGGAACTGGGCCAGGTGCAGGTGGCCCTCCTGGCAGGCCAGGTAGAGCGGGGAGGCACCGCTGCGAGTCCTGTGGTTCACGCTGCTGCAGGGAGGGAGGGTTCGGAGGGAGGGTTCAGAGGGAGCTTGGCTAGGGGCTGTGGGCAGGGCAAGATGGAGAGGAGGCGAGGCCCAGCCCCTGACCTGCTTGTGTCCACCTCCTCCCTATCACCTGTAGGGCTGCAAGGTTGTGCTGTCCAAGATGGGGAGGGCCGGGAGCTGGTTCATGGGGTACAGCTGAGCCCACTCCCCGCTGCACTCCTCACCCCTGGCAGGGGCGATACTGGCCTGGCCAGCACAGTGGGGCCTAAGGCTGGCAGCCCTTAACCATGAGCTGCCATGGGCCACCACAGGAGCCAAGGGCCATCATGAGTAGCACAGGAGCCTTGCATACCCAGGGTTGGCACCAACATTTGTCCCCAGTGAGGATGGGCCGAGCAGCATCTTAGAATCCGCCTAAACCCACTCTGCCCACACACTGCCATTGGGCCAGGCACGGCCCCCCCAGCCAGCTGCAGGTGACACGCTGCACCCCTGGACCTCTGGCCCTAGCCATTACATACTGAGTTTCCACACTCCTTCCAGCTGCTGCCCCAGGGTTTTGGGGTCCTTGCCCCTGGCTGGGCTCCCCAGGTGGCTGGGCTCCCCAGGTGGCTGGGCATGGCTGTCCCCTTCCCTTCTTTCCTCACCTGGGGGCAGGTTACAAAATCAATCTTTTTAGACTTGAGGAGGTCAAGTCTTAGATGGAATCAACCCTCAGTCAACCCCCGAACCCCCCAAGGGCTCCCCTCTGCCTCTGAGCACCTGCGCCCTGCACTGCACAGCCCTGAGGGTGAGGCAGCTGGGCTGAGCCTGAGCTGGGGGCCTCGCGCTGCCCTGGGAGTGTGCTTGCCAGGGCCACAGTGGTTGGTGGAGGGCAGGAGACCTGGACGTGGGACTCTGGGCTCCTCTGTTCTCCCTCTGTTTCTCTCACCCAAGCCCCAGCTCTGTCCCAACCTGGCTCTGTCCTAGGTCCTCCACCTCTAGGGCCTTGAGCCGGGCGCTTGCTGGACAGGGGGCACTTTCAAGAGTGCCCACCATCAGCCCCATGCAGAATGGATGAGTCTGAGCAATTTGGGATCCACCCCAGAGGGCTACTTCCCCCTGATTGGCAGAGGGTCTGGTCACAGCCTTCAGCTGTGTGAAAAGCCTAGGGATCTGAACCTCCTTCCCCTAGTAAAGTTCCTGCCAGGACTAGCCCAGCTCCTAGCAAGGTGCCCAGGACCCTGGGCACAGCCCTGGTCTTGGACCCACTGTGTACCTGCTCAGCCCATCCAGGGCTCCTTCCTTGGACTACAGAGCCTGAGGGTGACTTGAGGAGAGTTCCAAAGGGCCGAGTATGCCCTGGTGCCCTCCTGGGGCAAGCTCTCCCACCAGGGCTGAACAGGCCAGTATCCAGCATGGTGGCTGAGGAGCAGGCAGGTGGTGCAGAAAGTGGGTCTGGGGCTGCCGGAGTGTGCACATGGCCTGGTTCTGCAAATCTGCCCCCGCAGTCAGTGCCCAGTGGGAGTGCCCGGTGAGACAGGATGCTCCCAGTTGTGTGTGCATGTGGTGATGTGTGTGCAAGCATGCTGGTGTGCGTGTGTGTGCTGATGTGAAGTCACCCAGCTCAATATTGGAAGCTGCTTTAAAAGCTGCGCAGGCCTGGGGCAATGTGGGTGCTCCGAAGAATAGCTGGAAGCCCACCAGACTCTCCAGGTTGTTCACAATGGGACAGAAACAGGACACTGTTCTCAGTTGCGCTATCCTGGCTTGTCCCAGAACAAATATGGGTCCCTGGGAAACAAAATGGACAAGCAGAAAGCTCCTGGTGGGGGTGGGGGCACAGGCAGAGGGCAGGCTTCTTGGTTGGGAAGGAAGGGACACACTGGGTGCCTCTTTCCTGCCCCGTCACCATGACAACTGTGACCCTTCATGCTGGGCAAAGATGAGCAAAGGGTCATCACCAACTAGTCACCAATCCTGGCAGGTGGGCACAAGTCTCTGAGGTGGCCAGGCTGGCCACCAGCAGGAGAGGTTCCTAGTGTCTGGCTTGGACAGTATAGAGGCAAACCCAGGCCAGCCTGGCTGGGGTCTTGCCACTCTGAGCCTCCTAGTTAAACAACCTCTGCTCCCTTCAGGTGCCCACAAAGGTGCCCAGCTGCCCACACCAGTTGCTTGTTTTCTGCTCAGGCAACTGGCTGTCTTCACTGACCTCAGCGCTGCTGACCTGCTGTGCCCAGGATGAAGGTCCTGCCCACGCCCTGTTGAGCCCCCTGTGCTCTCTCTGCTCATCTCCAGTCCCAGGCCCTCACCTGCGGTGGACGGCCACCAGGAGCTTCAGGCAGGTCAGGTCCCCGCTGACAGCGGCATGGTGCAGCGGCAAGGCGCCCTCCAGAGTCTCCAGCGTGGCTTCGTGGCCCTCCTGCAACAGCCACTCCACCAGCGCCGGGTGTCCAAAGCGGGCAGCCAGGTGCAGCGGGGAGACACCCGAGGCATCTTGGTCCTACCAGAGGCACAGGCAGGGAGCAGGCTGGTGGCAAGTCCCAACCCAACCCTGCCAGGCAGTGCCACACGGCCAGTCAGCTGCTCAAGGCTGGACTTGCTAGGACCCCACACCACCCACAGCCCTGGCCCAGGAGCCCGTTTCCTCCCACCTTCCTCCCTTCCCCTCCATGGAGGGGTCCCCTGCTGGGACTGAGGGGGTCCTACTCCCAGAGAGGCAGGGTTCAGACTCAAGTCAAGGCTCGAGGGTCACATCCTGGGATCCTGCCCAGTCCAGGCCCTACGCCTTTTGGCTGTTGAGCCCACGGCTCAAGGTCAGGAAGCAGCCTGCTTGCCTGGGATGCCTGCCGGGAGTGTCCAGGACCCCTGTCTCTGGGCCTCTGCTCCTCCCTCCCTGCCCTGCCATAGGTCTCCAAGGCCAAGGAGCCTTTCCACCTCAGGTGCGGCACGTTCAGCAGCCCTGGGTGTCCCGGGGTGCCGTGAGCAGAAGTGAATCTGGAATCGACACGGCTCCTGCCTGCTGCCCGTGGGCTATCAGAAGCTGAGGAGAATCTGTGCTGAGGCTGGAGCAGACTTGGGTGCCGAGAGGAGCCCTGACACGTCTTCCTCCCCCAGGTCCTAGGAGCTCCCGGCCGCCCACTGCCGCCCACTGCGTGGGGCACTAAGGCTTGCTCCCAAGAACCCAGCCAGGGCTGGTGCATGCTCTCAGGTCCTTCCCCTGCACAGAGGAGGGCAGGGCGGGCAGGGAAGGGGTGGGGCCCTGGTGGAAGTGCCTGAACAGGATGGTCCCTGAGACTTGAGAGCCCTCTCCTCACCATGACAGCTTCAAACTGCCCCTATAGCCTGGCAGATGCCACCAGAGCCTGAAGCTCTGAGCCCAAGTTTCTGCCGTGCCTCTTCATGGATCCGTTTCTGGCCCTCTGAGAAACAGCCCAGCAGCTCAGTCCTGATCAGACAGGGGTCCTGCTCACTGGGGAGCCTCCCCTGCCAGGCCAAATGCTCCAGACACGGCCAGGAGAGCCTGAGCAGCTGCTCTGAGCTGGTACAGTTTAGGAGGTGGCCTTGTCTTCGAGGGCTCTCTGCTGTTTTGGGGGATGGGCACAGGGCAGACAGATGCCACTGGTTGAGAAAGAACCCAGGGCCACAGAGCCTGGTGAACGGGGCCTTCTGGGCTCTTGTTCTTCTTCCACCCCGGCAAGGTTCCTGGAGATGGGCTGCCGGCTGTCCCCTTCCTGCTCACCTGCAGCCCGCAGCCTCCATTTCGGACCAGCCAGCGCAGCTCAGCCAGGCCGCCCGTGGCAGCCGCATCGTGTGCCGGTGTGGCCCCGTTGTGGGCCCGCTGGTTACTGGGCAGCTGGGCCCGCTGCACCAGGAACTTGACGCAGTCCAGATGGCCTGTCCGGCTGGCATGGTGCACCAGCCCAGCCCCTAGAGCATCAGTGATGCCTGGGCCCAGGGCGCCAGCCTCCAGCAGCCGCTCCAAGGTGGCCACATCCCCTTCCTTGGCGGCCACTATTGCCTGCTGCTCCTCCATCCTCTGGCCCGGCTCTTGGGGCAGCTCCTGAACAGGCCCAGCGGGGCTTCCTGTTTCAGGCGTGGATGAGGCTGCCGGCTCTGGTTACATGATAAGCAGAGCACAGGGCAGATGGGAGGCGGCAACAGGCTGGTGCAGGGATGGGGGCAGGCCCAGGGGACCAGCTCTTTCCAAGCCACTCCTACAGTCCCCCAGGGCCAGGTGCCTGGGGCTGCAGAGCGTGGAAGGCATACAGAGTGGGAGAAGGGCTGCACAGGCTGGGCGCCATCCAGCAAGGGGAAGCCTGGCCCTGGCCCAGACATTGTCCTGCCCAGCAGCCGGAACCTCCTCCTCCTGCCAGGGCCTTCATCTCACCTGCAGTGAGGCAGGAGGAAGTCTCTCTGCAGGACGAGTCTCAGCATCTAGAGGTGTTTCCAGTTACAGACAGCACGGGCTCCCGAGCACCTGCTGTGCCCTGCCCTCCAGGCCCCCTGGCACTTCCAATTCTCCTGGAAGGGTGATTTGCCCCCGGGGTCTACGTGTCTGTGCTATGCCATCACTACAGACAGGTCCTGCCCTTGGCCGTGACACTCAGTGGGAGTCCAGGTGGTTGTGCGATGGGAGGGTCTCCAAAGTGAGAATGAGGGACTCACAGCCCCTGTCCAGTTTCAGGGGCAGCAGTCTTAATTATGAGCACCTCTTTCCAGATTGTTCTCATCAAGGGTCTAGACATTACATGGGTCTTTGACGGAGGTCAGGACAAGCGAGGCCTCTTCCTGGCAGGGCTGCTGGCAGGCACTGGTCAGGAATCTACTTTCTAGCGCTCCCAGAGGCAGGATCCCAAGCTGCATTTCTTAGACTAAAGCACAACTTTAAGATGATAGGTTGGGATGACGCCCCTGCTGTCGGCTCAGACAGACACCCTCGGCCGCTGAGAATGGCACAGGCAGAGGGTAGGCAGAGGACGGGTCACAGACACAGGAAGCCACAGACGTCCAGGTAGGCATGGAAATCTTTAATTAGTTCATTTAATTTCTGAAAATCCTTTCCTCAATATCATCCTATAGTTCTTTGGACCTTAAAAGCACATTAAAAATGTTACTCTCTGAAAATCATTCCTATGTAAATATTGGCATTTGATGTGTATACCATACATTCTGTGAGGATAAACAAATCTTTTGAAAACAGTAAGGAGAGTCAGGGATGACCTGGCCCCCACCGCGGGGTGACCTGGAATTGCACACACTCACAGCAGTGACGCTGGAGTTGAATCCTGAGTAAGAAAGCAGAGGGGAAGCGGGCACGATGGGGGGCAGGGCAGGGCAGTGGACAGTGTGGCCCACAGAACCATGAGGGCAGACCATGCTTGTCTGCCAGGAAGGTGTCCCAAGGGGACAAGGCATCGTCAGGATGATGGTGGGGCCAGGGAGGCGAGAGCAGCAGCTACCACCCATCTGGGGGTCACTGCACACGGAGGTCAGGGGAGGCCACATCACATGGTGCAGGTGCCACAGTTTCCTATCTTTGACAGCAGCTTACTGACAGTGGATTTTATCTTCTGGATAAAGCCAGCCTTTGGAGGGCGGGAGCTCTGAGTGCCCAGAGCAGCGAGGGGAGAAGCGTTTCCATTTCCACACAGCCTCTGGCAGTGCCATGGGACAGTCCTACGTGGGTGCTGGTGTCCTGGGCCTGTCAGGAGCTGGGCTGGGCAGGACATCTGTGCATCAGCCCACATTCAGGGGAGGAGGCACACGGACATCCCCGTGCCTGGGTACTCCATGACAGCGAGGATCAATGGAAGTAAGGGTGGCCCTGGCGCGGCTGAGAGGCACAGTCAGACACCAAGCGCTCAGCAACAGGCTTCCTATGGGCACAGTGACCACAACCTTGTCCTGGCCACTGAGGGCAAGGGCGGCCCTAGCACTAGGCCTGGCCTTCCAGCCGGGCCACGGCCTGCTTCAGGTCCTGCACAACGAGGTCCACCTCGGCCCTGGTGGTGCTGCGGCCCACGCTGAGCCGGAGCGCGTTCCTGGCCACATCGAAGGGGACGCCACAGCTGAGCAGCACTGGGGACGGCCTGGGGAGGAGGACAGCGTCAGCGGCCCCTGAGGACAGTCTCCAGCTCATGCCACTCAGGGAAGACACACTGCCCTTTACTCTTAGCCAAGCCCCCAGGTCGGGCTGGGTAAACCCCATGCCCACTCCATGGCCTGGCTGTTCCCCCCGCCCCTTGCCTCTCAGCGTCGTCTGCTAGGGACACCCTGGACCAAGCCCACCCCAGCCTCCTGTGGCGACGGTCACCTCAGGAGCCTCCCTGCAGCCCTCACGGCAGGAGGGTGGTGCTGCCCCTCACGCTGGCTCCCCTTGAGCAGCCCAGGGCCCCAGGCTTCCCTGTCCCGTACTGACAGAGACTGCAAAGGCCTCGCCCGCGCGCCTGGGCCAAGGCGCTGCTCTGCACACACCAGAGCCCGCCAGTGCTCCAGGGTGCAGTGCCTCAAGACCACCGAGGGGCACTGAGGGCCGCCTCATGGGTCGCACACAGCAGGACAGCGCCAGCCAGTTCCCCAGGAACAAGGCCCTCACACGCAGGCCCAGGCGAGGGCTGCCTCTCCGTGCACCACACTGAGGACAGTGACAGGACCAGAGTCCCTCTGTGTGCTGGGCTCCTGCCTCCTGTCAGCCAAGGACAGTGCCAGCCCCTCAGCCACCTCCACAGCTATCCCCAGCAGCATCCCCGCCCTGACCCTCGAGGCCCTGGCGGGCTGTGGGGCTCCCAGTCAGTCCACCCCTTTCCCCACCTCACCCACTGCCTCCTGGGGGATGCCCTCAATTCCTGAGCCAGGACAGAAGCCACCAGAGGGGGGACCCTACTTCTTGCCTTCTCTCAGGAACCACTGGCACTTGTTCCTTCTGAGCTTGTCCCCGCCTCTGGCCTCAGTTGCCTCATTTGAGAAACAGGCTCCCACAGTTCTCAGCACAGGGCTGTGGTGAGCACCCAGAGCAAGGCCGCCTCAGGGCTCCACCAGTGGCAGCCCCTGCGCCTGCCCTCTCACTTGCACCTCTCTGATCTGGAGGCTCTGGACTGCTGCACCCCAGCCTCCTGGCCATGCCAGCCCTCTGTAGCCCTTCCCGCTGCTGGGTGCTAACCCGATTCCTGTCCTCATCCTCCTCTGCCAGTTGGGGCAGGGCTGCTTCTCTACTACTGTCCCACTAGCTCCAGACCTGAATGGCCACCTGTGGCCACCACAGGGCTGTTCTCCTGAAAGTCCGGGCTCTTCATGCAGCTCCGCCCACCTATAGGCACCACAGCAAGCCAGGGATGGGCTTTCTCCCTGCAGGTCTGCTGCTCAGGTGACCAGAGCCCTCGGTCCCCTCTGCCTCCACCCGAGCACTGGACGTGGCCACGAGCACTCACCGGTCTCCTTGGTCTGAGTGGCAGGAAGCCCCCACACTGGCCAGCAGCGTCCGGCACTGTGCAAGCACCACATAGCCTGCAAAGACAGCACGTGCCTGAGACCCAGGGCTTGGGCCACCCCTCCCCACTCCTCCCACTCAGGCTCGGTCCCTCCAGGCACCCACCAGACCTCCAGTGGTAGGAGTTTAGCAGCACCCAGTGAAAACATTTCCCCTCTCTCCTGGCTGCAGGAGGGCAGGCTCCTGCCCCATCAGCCTGGCTTTGGAAATGGCCTTTCACACCCTCACCTCCAGGACCCCTGGGATTCTGACCTCTCTTTACGGCTTGTTCTGGATTGTCACCTGTTCACCTCCCTGCTGGGTAGAAGCCCCCTGATGAGGTGGCAGGTGCCTCCCTCTGTTCCACAGCACGGGACTTCAGAGCCACCAGCTACTGGGTGGCTGCAGGAGAGTCGCTGCACAAAGTACCCCAGAGGTGGCCAGGAACAGCACTCTCCCGGGTAAGGGGTGTGGCAGAGGGTGAGTGGCTTCCTGCGTCCTTGCTTGTGGGAATGCCAAGTTCTCAGTCACGCTGCCACACTGATGGCACCCAGGGGAGTCTGCGAGTCCAACAGGAGGGCCAGTTTCTCTGTGTGATCCGGGGAGACCCACAGCCCTTCTGTGAAGTCCAACTGAGTGTGCAGGTGTGATCGGGTGTGCTCTCTGGGACACATACGAAACACGGCAGGTCAGGCCCTGGACTGGGACCTCAGGGAATTGAGGCCAGGCTGTACACACCTCTGGGAGGCAGGGACACTACCCGCTTCCTGGCTGGGGGAGAAGGTTGGAGGAATAAACAAATCCCATAGAGGGGCACTTTGCCCTCACTTAGCCAGGTGTTAAAAACGACTACCTCTATTTTCTCTTCTTCTCAAATTATTTTATAAATTGCTAACAAAACAGACGAGCTTTCTAAGCAATGGATGATTTTATTTGCTTCCCTGACCGCTAATGGCTGATGTGAGAACTGAGAGTTTCCACACCCAGTGTTCCTAAAATGCGCAAGGTCAGCAACGAAGCTGCCAATGGCTGGAGCCATAGGAAGCCACCAACCAGCTGACCCAGGGGACAGGCTGGTTCTCAGCGCCTGGCCCCATGATAGTCACACCCCTGGCAATCTGCTAACAGCACGAGCTGCGGTACCCAGGCATACAGCAAGAGGGGAGGCACTGTCCCGGATCCAAAACCATGTAGCCCCACTGTACGGGAGCCACACACACCCAAGAGGGCCAGGGCAAGACAGGTAGTCACCTTGAAGCTGGTGTCCCTGGATGGAAAAGTTACAGGTGTTGGGAAGACGTTCGACTCCTGGAAACCGGCTGTTGAAATGAATTCTCTTACCAAATTCAGCCTGAAAGAAAAAGGAATCTAGCATTTGGTGATGGCTTAAAGACTCCTCCAACGGCAGCAGCTGTCTCAGCGAGTGACCACTCACCTCATCGGGGAACACCACCGTGAGAGCCGAGGGTCTGGTCCCGGCTCAGAGCACCTGCCTAGCACGCGCAGGGCCTGGGTTCCACCCCCAGGACCACAGGGGAGGCAAGACGAGGGGCAGTCCACGGGAAGCCAAGGTGGAGGCCGCACTACTCTGAGCACGTGTGAGTGCCTCTGCCTAAGGACAGTCTGCTTGGCCAGGGTCCTTCTTTGGGGACCTCTGCTTGGAGCTCGCTTTCTGCTTCTGAGTCCTCTCTCCGTGTGACCTGCTGTGCTCCCCTCCCGCAGCCCCCGGCACTGTGCGTGGCCCCACTCGCCTGCAGTCTCTCCTCCAGGTAGTCGCGGATGTCTCTCATGTGCGCCTCGTAAGCTTCGCAGTTCTCAGTCACCATCTCAGCAGCCTGGAGACACAGACAGGTGACACTGAGGAGAAGCCCAGTCACTGCAAAGCCAAGGACAGCAGGAAGGCTTAAAGAGCTCAGCAACAGTTCCCAGCCCAAGGGCACAGAAGCTCCACAGTGTCCACCACACTGGCCTCCTGAGAGGGTGCTGCCCCACTCCCTCCATAGCCCCCCCCCACCGCTGGTGCCAGGCACCATACGCCCCAGCAGACAGGTCACGAAGGGTCCCCACCCCAAGGAATATGTGTTCCTGAGAGGAACAGAACGGGAAAGACCTGTGTGGAGGCAACCTAGGAGGGACTGCGCAACCTTTGGGGTGCAAGGGGATGGCTGTGAGGGCAGCACCCCAGCCACAGCCCCACTGGGAGCAGGAGTGTGCCCTGGGGTAGGAGGGCTGTTGTGCCAAAGGAGAGGGCAGCAGTGGACAAGGAGACAGGCTCCACGGGCCCCTAAGAGCCGGATCCAGTGAAGTGCTGCAGGCAAATGCTGTCACGGGTAGGGATGAGGTGACCTGGCCGATGGCCACATCTCTCCTACTGCTGTACAGGGACAGCAGGCAGGACCTGGCCAGGGCCGGGGGGCCATGAGATTGGACCAGGGCAG